ATTAATTCTCTTGCAGTTTCGTCGCCAGGATTCCATACCTTAGATTAGTTCTACTTTGGTTGTTCTTGAAGTAAAAAAGTCGTCACAGTCTGGTGCTCGCCCACTTGCCTTTCTTGTTCGTTACAAATGCCATCCACTACAACGGAAACAATCTCGGCAACCGTTTGAATTGGTTATCGATGTGGTTTCTGTTTAAGTATTTGAAACATAACTGCTTCTTTTTTACCATTTTGATCCTTTCACTATAAGTTTTAACCTCCTCGCATTCATCGCTCCACTGGGATTCACAGAAAAAGAAAGGTGATAGGACATATTGCGACAATTATCGAGAATCAGCCTACTAGACATCTCAGCGAAAATTTCTGCTTTCCTTTTACTCAACAGACTTATGGATTGTATAAATTATATATATGTAATTATATATTATATATATATATATATGTATATATGTAATATATATATATATATGTCTTTGGCAGAAGTAAACCTGCTATTATATCAAAAATCCGAGTGGCTACTGGAGACCCACCTGTGATTCTATCCCCAAGTGACTCGATGGTCAAAAGGTCAGATTCACTTGATACGGCGTCCGCATCTCCCGACGCGCATGATATTTTGAGCTCGGTGGTACATGCGATAAGTATACAATCCGGGCTTAAAGCGATGCCAAGGCTGGTGAATAAAATATGCGCTCAAGCCAGGGTAATTGCTCGAAACCTATCAAGGGGAACAGCCCTCTGCACGCGCGGCGAGGTATTAGCTGTATCAGCGTGAAACGTCAAAACGCTTATGGACGTTGCAAGCCAAGCGATCACTGTCCACTCCCTGTCTAAGTATCGTGTGGATATCGCTTGCTTGTCGGAGGTCCGTCTTCCTCACTTTGGATCTCGAGCAATTATTAATCTTGGTTCAGAGCAGAGACACTGGCTATATCACTGCGAATAACTCAGGACGAAATGGCGTAGCGATTGTCATGTCTGACAAGGCCCATTCTGCTTTGATTGGGTGGAAACCAGTAAACGACCATATGGCTTATACCCGTTTTAAGGGTTCTAAGTTCTACAATATCTCGGTCATCAGTATCTGTGCTTCAACCGGCAGATGACCGTGATAAATACAAGCTGCGATGATCTCTATGCGGAACTTCAACTTCTGACAAAGTTTCTACCGAAATATGACATGATCATAATCGGGGGAGACTGGAATGCTCACATAGGTTATAATGCAGCTGCGATGATCTCAACATTGGCAAATATTGCAAATATCGGAGACCGGTGTGCCAATGTGGAACGTCTTCGTTATTACTAATTTTTACTAATACTTGCTTCCGGCATCATAGAAAATATCTAGTCACGTGGAACTCCCCGGATAACCAAAACTTCAATCAGATTGATTATATTTCACTTAGTCGCCATTGGAAGAGTTCCGTACTAGATAGTTGTTCCTACTGTGATGCTGGAACGGGCAATCTTCATGGATCTGACCATATTATGGTTTGAGCCAAGATCCGCATAAAATTGACAACTCGCAGAAAACAGCATCTCCCAAAATCCTTCAACTATCTCAAACTAAAAAATTCAAGGATAGTGCATTTCGAACTGAATTATTGAAGCACCTCAATGATGGAAATATTAGTGATTTTTCTGGTACGGCAAATGAATACTAAAAGAATGTCTCCGAAAGTCAATCGCTAAGCTAGGGCATATTAGCAGGAAATGTGCTAGTAAGTATCGGAAGCAATTGTCCGACTGCCTGAAAAAACTGCCAAAGCACGAATCCTGACTACCGAGTGTTTCAAAGATTTACAACGAAAGCAGCATGGAAGAACAGAAATCTCTAATGGAGTGACATGGCCTCAATAATGGAGGCGGCGGCTCGATTAGGCGACAATAGAAAACTATTCTGTCTTCTTCATAAAGCAATTATAATCGGAGAACGATTAGTGAAATGCTAAAAGACAGCAATGGCGTACTAATCAAAAGTATTAAGGATCGCCTCAAAAGATGGAAAGAATCCTTTGAGGCCAAATTTAACCATGAAGCGCCATCTGTTGCCCCTGATATAGCTGATACGTTTGCAATTGCGAGCCTAGAGCAGAAGAAGAAATAATTTTAGTTATCCATAAGGCCAACAAACTCCAGGAGAAGATGGTCTTCGGGCTGAGTTTTTCAAATGTTGTCCATCGTCCTTCATAACGCACCTTCAACAAATGTACTCTTTAGTATGGAAAAAAAAATATATTACTAGATGATCAAAGCAATTCTGCTACCAATTCTCAAGAAAAATGATAGGACATACGGCGACAATTATCGAGGTATCAACCTATTAGACGTCTCAGCAAAAATTTTTGCTTCCCTGCTACTCAAGAGATTTATGGAAGTACGGGACAACAGGATGCGCCCTAATCCTGGTTTCAGACCATGGCGCGGTTATACTGACAAGATATTCACGTTAAGAAGAGTGTTCGAACATCGCTTCAAATATTTGCAACCCACTGTTTCATTGACTTTGCGGCTGCCTTTGATTCAATTGATAGAGCCGCGCTTTGGAGGGTGATGGAACGAATAGTGGTCCAAAGAAAATCATTCGACTCATAAAGGCATTATATGAACTCACGTCAGGTCTATGGGGGATTGATAGATTCATTCGAAATATGAACTGGTGTCCGTCAAGGCTGCGTCCTTTCTCTTACAATATTCAGGACATCGGTACTCAAGGGGTGTCCAAATCAGTCCAGAGCATCGTTTCTTAAATACGCTGATGTAGTCCTGATGATGTAGTCCTTTTTGCTGACAGTTATAACGAAATGCAAGTAATACTAAATAACGTGTCAGAAACTGCAGCAAGAATCGGACTCAGGATCAATGTAAATAAAACAAAAGTACATCTATATAGCCGTGATTCGTTCGATCTTACTATATGGCTCTGAGACATGGCCAATGAGAGTGGAGGATACTAAAAAGCTATCCCCACTCTTATCTAAGGTACATTTTACGAGCAGGTAAAATATCACATGATCACATGCACCTTCTTTCAAATACCACTTGCATAATGTATCAATATGCAATATCAATATGGATGTAGTTGAGGAGCTATCTATGCTTTTATCGCTATGAGATTCTTTCACGGAAATATCGCATTCTAATTACTACATTCTAATTACACGGCCTAATTAATAAATTATCTTATTGATGGTCAGCATGGATAGTTACGAATTGAAGCAAAGCGAGGATTTTTGGATTTTTTCGGATTGTTCTGAATTATTGCATATCATTTTGCCTCATAAATTTCTGGAGCAGAAATGAGGCTCAATCGATTTGGCCTATTCCATGAAATGAAACCCTATTGCCAAAGAGTTGCTTAGTGAAAAAATGGCTTATCAATATCAATGGCTTAATTTTCAAAATTAGTTCAAAGCTTTAATGCAAAGGTACAGCGATCGAAAGTCCCTTGGATCAAAACCTTTGCCAAGCTCAAAAGCCCTAAGCCTAATATTAAAAGCAAAACGAAGCTCACTTGCCGTCAGCCACAATTCAGCCAAGTGCTGCAACTATCATATTGAGGAGGCGTGATTGAGAAAGCACGCTCGCAATTTACTATATAACGGTGCGACATACATCTGGCAACACACGTCCATGAAGTGCTCATTGATTGTGGACAATTTTTGAGATCAGTGTGGGTTTGTGGTTGTGGTACTTTGTCCTGGTTTTTTGTTTGGGTAGTGGTATATAAGTGGTATATATATAGGCGAGTAGAATGGCTCATTCAGAGAGATGTTGCTATTGTTTCGAGACGCTGGTGCTGGTATTCACCCTCTTTCAAAAATTTTGGGTTTCGCATATTATTACCATTTCTGTCGCAGAGTGGCTCCTTAGCAAAATTTATCGGATTCGACAAGTCATAATGGAGATTTTGCTAAAGACTTTTATATGAATTATGCTTCTGTTTATATATTTTTAAAAAAAACATTTTCTATTTATCCATTTTTAAAAAGAGTTTTATTGAATTTCTAAAATTCATTAAATTCTTTTTTCGCGTAATTTTTATGCGGGCAGTTGGTTACTCTGACTTTTTAGCGTAATTTATTCTAATTTTATTTAATTTTTATTATTCCAAAAATTATTTAAATTAAATTTTATTTATTTTTATAGCAGTTTTTGATATAAACAAATAGAATTTGATTCTTATAAAATTAGCGGGACCGTCCTACTGGCAGATGAAATAATCGATTTGCACAGTTTTGGACAATTGCAGTTATTTATTTATTTGTTTATTTGAAGCAAACTTTGAAGACTTGAATAAGATGAAGGAAGGATGCGGTTCAGGATGTTTGGATAATTTTTTTAAAATTCATTATCACTAGCATATATATGGTAGATCGTATTATTTTGGAAGGGATCACTCAATTATATTACATATATATATATTTACTTGGATGAACAAAAGGATGCTGGGTGAAATGATGATTGGGTGCGTCGAAAATTTTAAATTTATATATATATATATATGCATTTTTTAAGGTGAATAAATATGAATGAGGCTGATTTGAACGGAGCCGATATGGCAGCATTCATTGATAGTGCTGCCGAACAAAATGTAGTACAAAATCAAGCAAATGGCAATGAATTGATTGAAAACGATACACAGGCAAATATTGGCAGCAAGGATTGCAGTACTGATAAAGCTGTAGAAGAAAATAGACATAATCAAGTGGAAACAACTGCTGCAGGAGATGAATCGAGTGGCCAGTTTTATTTTTTCATATCTTTTCATATTTTATCAGACAAAAGTTTCAAGAAAACTGGAATTATATAATTTTCATGATTATTGCATGATTATTTTAATTAAAATACAGGTGGGACGGGTTAATGGGTGTTGCTTTTATTTCGAATGTTGGGGTTTTTGTCGCAGAAAGAGTAAACTTGTCTTCCAGAAATTCTGTTGGTGTGGATTGCCTTTCTATATTTCTACTTTCAAAAATGCTCTAAATAACGATTTAGTTATTTAAATTGTTGTTTTATTTTAGAACAAGGTGGCAACGCCTCATTTGATGGATATGTAATTGTATGCAATCAGGAAAATATCGAGGAAGGAACAAAATTGGAACTACCTGTTGATGAAGATGGACTTTTGCCGCTGGCAACACTTTCGCACTCGTTTCCAAGAGCAATAGGCTTGAAATTTAAGAATCCATCCACAGGAGTATTTCGTACACTGGCGTTAGTCATCTCACTTTTTTTTATTTGATATTTTTTAAAAATATTCAAATTGTGGAAAATTTTTTCAAAAATATTTGCAGAAATGTTTTTTTCTATCTTTTTAAGAAAGCGAAGTTCACATTTATCACCGATTAAACCTAAGAGATTGTTTAAATTCATCTTATGGTTTCTAACCAACTTGCAATAACTTAATGTTAATTTTAAATTATGGTCCATTTTTTCTTATCATTTGGCTATCAATTCCTTCTATTAATTGTTTTAATGATTTGTCGATAACCGCCAATTCCTATCTATTAATTTTTTATGAAGTTGTTTACTGAGAGAATCGTCAGATTAACTTTTCAAAATTCGAAGTTCTTTAAAGTGCATTAAAATAACTTTTTGAGAAAAATATTGTTGTATTTGTATTGTATTTTGTATTCCAGATTACTCGATAATTTTTTGTATTTTTATATTTTTATTTATTTTTCAGAGTAAATGAGGAAACGAAAAAAATTCTTCCACCCAAAAATGGTTGGACGAAAAATTGTTATGTGGCCATATTCAATGAAGATACGAAAGGTAATTAATTGATTGCGTATTTATTATTTAAAATTTTCTTCATTTTTATCGTTTTACAAATATTCTAAATAGTTTTTCAAATTTTTTTTTTTGAGTATTTCCAAATAATCATATATTTTATAATTTTCTTTGTATTCTTGCCTTGCCTTCTTGATAAATTTGGATTTTTTGAACCTATGAGTTCTATGTTAACTAAGAAATATAAAAGAAATATAAATTTTTGGGGTTTTTTTTACAAATTTGCTTTAGTGTATATCATTCTATCGATTTGCAAGGTATATTCCATTCAAAATTTGCCTAAACGGTGTCAGAATAGTTCAGATTTGTGATTTTCAATTTTTGATCAGCCGCTACCGACTGAGAAAATGCGAGATTGTATTGGATTAACGTATGACTGCCGTCGAGGAAATTATGTGACGGTTTCTTTGTATGATTCGATTTTAGCATCCGAGAGACAGAAGCGGCTTAACGACGATGACAGTGATGATCCTAATAGTAGTGACAAACGAGCCATTTTGGAAGCAAGTATGACTGACGTTCCGGTCGATTTGATCGTTCGAAATATTTCTTTCGATACAACCCAAGAAACACTTGAAAATTATTTTCGGCAATATGGCGAGGTGATATTTGCCGAGGTTCGTGTCAGCAATCGCATATATCTTCGGATGTTCGTTCGTCTGCTTCCAGATGATTTTTCTTTCACATAATTATTGCTCCTTCAAAATTGCACATCATATAATATAATTGGAATAGATAGCATGTTATTTGTCATAAAATAAAATATATAATGGAAAAATCAAATCTCTTTCATCATCACCATATATGCGCGAGAGAATTTTTATTTTAAATACTGCTTTTTAATACTTCAGTTGCTACAATTTACAGATTAAGCGCGACTACAAAACAGGAAGACCGAAAGGTTTTGGCTTCATCAAAATGAAAAATGTAGCAGATCAAACCAAAGTACTCGAAATAAGAGATCATTTAATCGATGGAAGAGTTACTCAGGTTAGTTTGATGCAATTTTTTAATAAATATAAATGAGGCTACACTAATAATTTTTTTAAAGGCAGTTATTAAATAAAAAATAAATAAAAAAGGCAGTCAACCGACATGTTTCGTAGTTTTCCATAAAATTCCACAAAGTGGAAAGAATCATCTGGAAATGGAAAAGTAGAGAGGGTTGTGAAGATGAATTCTCATCACTGCTCTACAGTTCTCTATAGTTTTTTCAATTCTAATAGTTAATTCCGAGGAAAAGATCGAATTCATGGTGCTTGCCCCAGTCATGATAAAGCATTAGTTTTAGGGAAACATGCTGTTTGAGTTACCCTTCTACATTTCAATACTTCATACTCATGCATTTATATTAATCTTCAGTTTTTTCATCTATTTGCTATGTTTTATATGAACAATAAGGCTGATGTTCTTACTTAATGCTATAAGGAATTTTCGCATTTGCATTGAAAGTTTATTCTAGACATATTTCTTTTCACATTTTTCTACAAAATGCATATCACTTCCGTTATTTCTTTTTTTTTGTAAAGAAAGTGGTTCATTATTCTACTTTATAAAATTTATAAACTTTATTTAATAAAATTATCAGTTTTAAAGATGCCTTCAGTTTTTTCTTTAGACTTATGAGAAGTGTGCGAACTTGAGCAGTTATTCTGGGCGATTCAGTAAAGAGATTATATTAGATAGAACCGAATTATGAATTGATTTTGAAATAATCATGTTCATTGGTCATTAAGTTTTTACTAGTTTCATTAAGTTTTTTGCTAATAGATTTTGATTAAACGGTCTGATTGGATGTAAAATAGTTCAAAGAAATTTAAATGGTCACCAGTCTAATAGAGTAAAACCGTTGCTTTATTGGCCCTTATTGGAGGGAGATTGTAAGAAGTTGAAACCTAAATACGAAAAAGTCTCGAAGTCTCTGGTATTTTCAGAGTTCGAATTGAGCGAGAAGTTTGCGTTCAGTGTGTAGATAGCTTTTGACAATGATTCATCGAAATCTAAAATATTATGATGGATATGACATAGTTCAATTCTCGAAATAGGTTTTAAAATCCTGGATATAGTAAGTAAGTAAGGCTGTAAAGTTTTAAGTTTTAAAGTTGCGTTCAGTGTGTAGATAGCTTTTGACAATGATTCATCGAAATCTAAAATATTATGATGGATATGACATAGTTCAATTCTCGAAATAGGTTTTAAAATCCTGGATATAGTAAGTAAGTAAGGCTGTAAAGTTTTAAGTTTTAAAGTTTTATAAACGATACCTTGATAAAACTTAGCAATTGAATCTCCATGCATTGATTGATAACAGTTGACTATTATGGTTCTCCATTTTGGTAAACCATAGATAACCTTCAGATGATCCAGAGATGACCTTTTTCTGCCACACATTGTTTTTATATGGTTTTTTTTTGCACAGTAGCAGAAAGATATTTCGACAAGGATGATTTTTTTCAATCCTGGTTTCCACAAAAAAGACATGTTTGTTCACGGTTTGTTGTTGCTATAATGAATCCATTATAGTTTCTAAAAACCTGGTCCAACTTTCATAAAAAGTTATCTTGGATCTACTCCAATCCCAAATGGCCAGACAAAGGATGAACCTGTAACCCGGATGACAGCTAATTATATATTTTTCCGATTGATGAAATCTTTATGGAACCGTCGCGAAATCGCCATTAAGACGAAAATCTGCGTCCATATACCTGTAGTTTGATTTTGCTATATGGCTGCGAAAATGGCTAATGAGAGTGGAAGATATTAAGAAGCTATCAGCTTTTGACCGTTTATATTTAAGTCATTTTACAGATCCTTCGAGGGGATAAAATCCTACATGATTGTATCCATCTTCGCTCATATACCACTTGTAATAATTAACATTATCGCAGAACGTTGCTTTCGCTGGTTAGAGCACGTTCTTCATCGTCTAGCACAGGAGCATGTTTCACAACTTGCCGAGTGTGATAGTTGGTCTCAAAAGTGAGGAGGGCCAATCAAGACCTGGACTTGAGCTGATAAGGTCAAGAAAGAATTTTAAGTGCATAAAGAGACCAATGATATATGGAATTAGACGATGGAAAAAGGAATGGCTAGCGATGGCATCAGATCGAGCAGCTTGGAGACATCTTGCTCTTATAGCCAGCATAGCTAACCTAACCAGTAATGGTTAGAAGAGGAAGAAGATTTTCCCAATTAAATATCAGCCTAAGCCTAAGCCTTTTTTACTGATTCTAGAGGCTGCATCGAATAGAGTAAATTCACTTGTATCATCACATTGATAGAAGTGATAACTGTAATAATTAATAAAATTTAAATTTTGTATTAATTTGATTTAGTATTAATTGTTAATTTGAAGGAATTTCTGAGAAACTTAGCTAATGAGAGATGGGAGAATTTTAATTGTTATTTTTCATTTTATAATTTTATATTTTCAAATTTTTATTTTTAAATAAAAAATGATGACGATAATGTGAGTAAATTTTTATCTTTGTAGGTGAAAATTCCTTTGCATACTCCAGAAAGTCAGAGTAGATATGGTCGACCAAGTTACAGCCTTCCGACAAAATTGCATGTTGGTAGAGTTCCTGCGACCATGACAGAGAGTGAATTGTTTAATGCGTTCAATGAGGAAGCAAAAAAAATATCGGATAATGGAAGGGTAATGAAACATTTATTAGAAAATAGTCGTGATTTTAAAAGTTTTTTTTCATTTTTTATTTTAGAAATATTTAAAAAATTTCAAATCTGTCGAAATTGAATATTCATAGTTCACTAAAAAACATTAATGAAATCAACGAAAATGTGGGGAACAAGAAAATGAGATTTGTTATTTAGTAGATATTATATCGGTAAAGAATAACTGGATTTGTTTTTTATTTTTAGGTAGATCGGGTGTTTCTTATGCCTCGAAGAGGTTTTGCTTTTGTCTCATTCAATGATCCGAATGTAACGGCACAACTTGCAAAAATGCGTGATTTTGTTGTAAATGGTGTTAGCGTATGTGTCACGATCCCTACTCCTAGAAAACGCGATTATGACCCACCTCCTAGGAGGATGGTTGATCCATTTTCCAGTGGTTATGGTGGATACAATGATTATCCGCCGTTTGGTCACAGTGGAGGTGGTCGAGGGCCGTATCCACCGAAGCGTCGTCGTAGAGGAGAATTCAATGATTCTTGGCTATAATTATGTTCCCTAATTTTCTGAAGGAGTTTTACTATAGTTATTTGGAAAATCTTTATTTTTTCTCATTTCGTTTTTTTTGTGAACATATCTTATTTACATAATTTTCTCAATACGAAACCAGTAGACGACTTTAATTGCTGGATGCATCATTCGTCGGCGAAAACCTTTTGTGTTATAGTGGGCACTCACATAAATAAAAGTAGACTTATGAAGTACTGCGAGCAATATAATATTGAAAGTTTACAAAAGAAAATAAAATAAATAGTAATTATAATTTCATAAACTTAAAATTTTTCTTTGTATTATTTTTCATTCCGTTTGTATTACCGTTTTATGCGGATTGTGATGATTTTCTTTTTTAATTTCAGAGTGGAATGTTAAAAATTTCGCTCGATTTTTAAATATTTCTGGATTAAATTATGAAAAAATATATTAAACAGTACTTAACCATTTATCCCTCTATTAAGGAAAAAATGTTACAAATTAGAAGGAAATATGAGAAGTGTCAAGCTAAATTTTAAGAAAATATATCAAAAAATAAGAGATAAGCAAACTGTGGCAACCTAATTTATATCCTAATTTATAATGCAAGAAATATATAAGTGTGGAAATCTGTGCTTCTTAACGACATATAAAACTTTATTTTTATAAATAAAACGTTCCTAAGATTGGCTAATAAGGAAAAATTAAGTTTTGGTTCGATTCCTGATCACTGAGCGTTTCTCGGTAACGGCAAGCACTCGAACCACAAAGGCAAGAGAAATATTTGCGCTTAACGTCCCACCATTGTCTGCCATAATCGATTGTAAGTTCTTCACCCTGTAGAATAGTTATAGCTTAAGAAACCCATCAGAATATCAATCGAAAAGGACACGAACTATAATGAAATGAACAGTGTTTAACAATAAAGATAACTGATAAACATTGCCTTTTGAATATCTCGCTTGGCAAAGAAACATATATGCGGGAAGTGTCGAACATTCGCATCCCAAACAACTTTCAGCACAAGAAGATTCGCGTCACAACTATGATTTACGAAACGAGCAACATTACCTTTATTTCGAGCATCTATGCAATAAATTATGGAATTTTCCTGAAAATGACTTCTCAGATCATAAAAATTATAATGCCGATCGCCAATGATTCATGCAAATATCCAAGCATTTTTGCCTAAATTTATTCCCAATCATAATTTAAATAATACTGTAATGTCTTATGGCTATCAATCATCTAAAACATGCTATAGTTATAGAATAATTTTCTAGAACTATAGAAATAAAAGAAACCAAAAAACATACGACGATTTCGAATAAATAGGTATCAACTTCTCGGCGATCAGCTTCCTCATTTGATATTAATTCGCCAGTATATTCACAAATAAAATCACCTGAATAAGAGAAATTATTGTTATTATTGCTATTGCTAATGGTCGCATAGAAATCCATATTTTTCATTTTAACATAATACCTTTCGAAATCGGAACAGCGCTTCTAACAGCCCAACCATATTTCGATGAACGAAAAATCTGAAACAATCTGCATAAAGGAAGCGGAATGAAATTAAAACAAAACACTCTATTTGATTATTTAAATGTTGGCATTGAACTAATGTATGTCCTTCTCCTAATAATATTCGCCTGATTTTACTGGACATCGCCTTAAAAAAGTGCAAATGATTCGCCGATTCTCAATTTCATTTTTAATTACAGGCTTACTTCTATCAAAGGAGAAGAAACGAATCCATGATCACTTCATTCGTTGATAGTAAAGTTTACCAATAAATTTTATATTGACATTTTACGTTCATTAGCATTTGGCGAAGAAGCAAATGCGGCATAGAAAGGAAGGAAAAAAACAACAAACTTCTAGACGATGACGAATACCGCGTTGAGCAATTTTCGATTTGCAGCTAGATGAACAAAAACAACTCGAATTACATTCGATAATAACCCCCAAATTTGATGTATCTGCAAGTGCAATCACTTCGTCACTAAGGCGACCGTTTGCATTATAAATGCTTCTAGAAATGCATGGACAGCCACTTTGGCAAAAATTTAAACAAGAACATGCCTGAAATGTAATAATAGAGTATATGATATCACCATATCTGTTCCATATCTATTTCACCATATCTGTTCAGACCCATTGCGTTGGATTGTCGAGCTACACAAATTTTGCCAAGGTTAATTAACTGGCGACAAAAAAATCGCCAGCATAATCCGGGATATTAAAAGAGAAAAAGGAGTTTTCTTCTTAGAGAAATGAAGACATTGAATACAGTCTTTATATGCCACAATTATTTATCCAGAAACCGTTAACCGTTAATAAATTTTTTCCCTAGAAATAACAAAAAATAAATATTATTACAAATATATTATTATCCTACTAAAGAAAAATCAATCCGGCTTTTGAACATATCAATATTCAAAACATATGGAGTGTATTCAAAATCCAGTGGAAATGAATCGCCTAAAATATTACCAATCACTGGTATCGGTACTTTTTCATTGCCTTTTGCGATATCACTGAAATACATAACATAACATAATTAGTAAAAATAATTTGATAAAATGATATAAAATTCATATAAATCATTTATAATCTCATAATAATAATAATGAAATTTTATTTATTTTACTTATAACTACAAATAACAAAAATTATAATAAATTTGAAATTAAAATATTAAAAATTAAAAATATTAAAACCAAATTAAAAAATAAAAATTAAATAAAAAACTTACTGAGATATGTAATGTCGAGGCACTGAAAGAATTCGAAGTGAGGCAAATTTTTTAGAAATACGATCGAGAAATGAACGAAATGAAGACGGCACCTTCATATCGTTTGATAATTCGATTGGCCTAGCACCATATTCAAGAAATAATCTGAAAAAAAGGATAAAATCCAACAAAATACTTAAAAAGAATTGTGACAGACATATCTCATCTCAAAGTGAATAACTTAGATTAATCCAATTAATCAGATTATATCAGTGGGCAGCCAACCAGTAATTTTCTTAGAACTAAGAAAAATATATTCAATTAACATTTTCCTAAATTTCAAAAATTTTCAATACAATGAAATATCAGATTTATTATAACATCATTATGATTTTTATCATTACCAATAATATCATTTCAAAAAATCAAATTCATAGAATTTTACTGTTTTTTCACTTTAACTTTAGTGTTGAGGAAAATTCATGGAAATAAAAAAAACAATGAGATTTTTGAACGGAAAAATAAAAATATCCTCCACTCTCACTGGCCATGTCTCACAGCCATATAGCAAGATGGAACGAACTGTGGATACATAGAAGCGGACTTCAGTTTTTATGGTGATCTCGCGACGACTCCATAAAGATTTTGTCAGCCGTCAGCCGTGTTGCGTTTCTAACTGCCATTATGCGGGTTGTAATAATAGAAAAAATTAGAAAAAAACTTTAGTAATAATTTCATTAGAATATTTTATTGATTTAAGGAAAAAAGAAAATTGCATCAAATCTTTCATCTTCAATTCATCTAATGAGTTCCTTTCAATTCCCAAAAGTGATTTTTTTTTAAGAAAAAATGTTAGCACAAACATCGCCGTTTGAAATTTTTTATGGCCTTTTTGGCTTTCCATAGCCTTTTTTGCCTTTCTGTGGCTATTCCATGGCTTTTTATGGCCAATTTTTATAACTAAAAATGATTTGTTAATACATTTGTTATACCATAAAGAAATAATTCGATAAATAAAAAAACTGCAATCATAAAACTCCTATCATTTAAAATTATCCTCAAAAAATTACAAAAAAATCATTTTTATAACTGATTATCTCCATTTCTCATATCTGTTCGTATTCCCAATTGTCACTAATATTTTCTCATTATCACTAAAAGATTTCATATTTTTGCCAGAAATAAAAACTAATTGACCTTTGAGATTTACTTGAATTTTTCTGTAAATTTTGTAATTCTTTCTTCGCTAAGAAATTTCGCTTCGTTAGAGTTATTAATAATTTACAAGAAGCGATGAATATATTTAAAAAAGCCGCTTCAATGTCGAAATAAAAAACGCAAAGCTGACTGAAAAGCAATTCAAACATCTAAATTACAAATAAAAATTACTAATTAATTAAATAATTTTCTTAAACTATCTATTAGACATGAAATATTACTTAAATTCATTATTATTTCATGCGAGAAAGTGTTTCATAATGTGACAAGAAAAACGAAAAGCTGCTTTTCTAAAATCAACGGCATATAATAAATATTGCAAATTCCGCAAATTCTTACGACACCGCAAGAAAAATATTTAAAATCGAAAAATATGTTTGGTTTGGCTTCAAAGGAAAAATGGATAGGACAGCTGCAAAGAGTGAAAGCCCAGTGGGATAAATATTGCTCTACACCATAATTTATAAACCACATAATTTATGAATATGGTATTTAAAGTGGTCGTGGAATTGTTAAGTGGGTCGTTGCCTTCAATGCAGAACCGCTATGTTGGTGCTCTACTCCCAGCATAAATAAGCTTTCTTTGGAGAATCCGGAAAATGCTGGTCATTCGCCTCTGTTCTATACTTCCATTATGACAACTTGGAAAAATTTATTTGGACTTTCAAGCAAGCGAGCCTTATCAGGAATGGCGAATGCTCTTAGAAAAAAGAGCTAAATTTTATAAAACCACAATTTGATTTTACAAAGCTTCGAATTATTATAAATATTGCGATTACCAACATTTACTTCGTAGAGAAAACATAAAATTTTGAAAACAAAAAATACTCTGAAAATAATCAGAAAACGCTATTATTTTTTTCCAGTTCAACGACTCCAAAAAATAACAAAGTTCAATGAAAATTCATTATTTAAAATATCCCAGCGGAGAGAGAAATAGCATTATAATAAAAAAAAACGAAAATAATAAACAATTTATCTTAAAAAAGAATAATAATATAAAAAATAAAAATAATATGAAAAATAAAAATAAAAATTTTATTAAAACAAAACAATATTTATATTCGAAAATGGTAAACGTTTCAAAAATCCATAAATTTGGCGAAAATGGACGAAATGGCTCAATGAATTATTGCTCTCATTTGGGAATGCCGATGCTTGATAGAAATAATTCGGGTGCTTTTCGTGATCGACCTATATTTCTAATCGCCAAATGGCTTCTCGGCAAATTTATCTGACACGACAAAGTTAATGCAGCCAAAGATAACAAGTACATTTAAAAAAAAAATTGGCGATCATTTTTTAATTTATTTATTTTTCTTAAAAAAAAAATTAAATCAATCACCAATTTCTTTCCCCTTTCCTTTTTGCCTCCTCCCTATATTCGTCTAAGATTTAACAAATAATTTCTCGAACTGATAATTTTCATTAAAAAAATAAAATTTGATTATACTCCTAAAGAAAAAAGTATAAATTTCATAAAAACGAAAATAAATTCTGAAAATAAATCTTATTTGAATGAAAAATTTAAGTCAATAAACCAATATAACTCGATATAAGCAGAAAAAAACTTAAAATATATTTTCATTTTAATTTGAAAATAATGAAACCGTCCCTCCTATACATAAGTGAGGGCGAGAAAGCATAACTGGATCTTTAGCAGCACTAGGTTCCTTTAGCAGTAGCAAATAAATCTCGCATAATGTGATCTACGATTAAATGCCTCAAAGATAAGATATTAAATAAAGCATTCATTATTAATATCTTTATTTCAACGTTTAACGAAATATTAAATATTAGAAAATGTTCTAAACGGCGTTGAAAATAAACGCTCGAGGCAATTTTTCACATTAATGATCACATTTCTGAAAAGAAATTATTAAAATTTCATCTTTTTTTTCAATAAATGCTTGAAAAAAATATAATTTGAATCAAAAAAGGACAGTATGCCTTAGGGAGAATAAACTTATCATTGAAAGTCTAATATGGATGCTAGACAGAGACCAATTAATTTTCTATCACCAAGAGACTCTTCCGCAAAAGAATTTCATCACAGCAGTTGATAGATCGAACCTAAGCAAATATAGTGTGTGGTTCAGAAAAAATTATTCCAAGGAATGATATATAATTTAACGAATACGGGATGGAAAATAAATAATTAAACTTTCTCTAGAAAAATCTTTAATAACTTAATTATTTAAATACATTTATTTTATTTTTTATTTGTATTTATTTATATATTAAACAATTCAAAAAAAACTAAATCATGGAATTAATAATTTATCATTTTTTTGAAGTTTTTTATTAAAATCATATGAAGCGAAAAAATATCAATCAAGCGAATATTCATATTCACCAAAATTTAGAATATTTATAAAATTTAGAATAGAATAACTTAGGAAAATTATTTACTCCTTAAAATCGAATGCTTTCTTTGAATAACGCTTAATTCAAACAAATTCGCATTAATTTTAGATTTATAAAAGTAAAATTCCTTATTTGGCCTAAACATCATTTGTTATTCATAAAATAAATGAGACATTTGTATGATAAAGTAAAATGATAAAAGATAAATCATAAATAAAAAATCAAAAAATTAGATTTAAATTAGCAAAAGATTTAAAAAAATTTTTTTTCATAGAATTATTTGTAAAATTACGAATTAATCTGAGAAAAATAAATCCAAAATTGAACTTAATATATGGAAAAATTTTTAATGAAATTTTTAAAAACTTATAAATTTATTAATTAGAATGAAACGAAAATATATTATGTTGGCTTATAAAATTACTCGTAGTGATGGTGATATAAATGAAAATGGTTACCCACTTGCTCACCAGTGGCTTCGTTAAACGCACTCTGACGGCTGTCCGATAAGTACGGTGCCAAACTTTGACTGATTAGATAAGAGCAAAAGACCAAAAGCTTGACGGATGGATGGGATTGCATAAATTGTTTTGACTGAAGAGTTCACTCAACTAATTTGGCTCAAATTAGAAATGACTGAAAAAAAACTTAGTCAATCAAACATCGCAAAGTATTACGATAAACTGCTAAAAAACGACGGAATTTCCAACGTTGAAGCAAAGGCAAATATTGTTTCGAATTCGAACCTGCAGTTTCGCATCGACTCGATTTCCATCCTTTAACCGAGAAAAGTCATTTATCTTCGAGTATTAGTAGAGAGATCAGTCAGTTGTACCAAACAAATCAACAATATTACTAAATTGTTAAATTAAATTCTAATCAGCGATGACGTCCAAAATACAACAAAAAAAAGCTATTCCCATCAATTTCGTTCTTCATTTTTTCTATTAGATTTTTTCTATTAATTATTTATTAAAAGGTGAATATGACAGAAAACAAAAATGCATTATAAAAAGTGTAATTTTTTTTTGCTTATATGATAGGAAAAATTATTAAAATTTGAATTGATGAAAAATGATTTCAAATAAATCGAAAAATTTTTAATAAAAAATTTAGAAAAAAAATGATGAAAGATTTCGAAGTGAAAATTTAAATTAAAAAATGAAAAGTTGAAAAAAAGCCAATTAATTTATTTTTATTTTAGCCAAATGAGAATTTATTAAGTAATAGCAAATATTTTTTTTTCTAAAGCAATTTAAAGTAAATTAATATTCGCTTTCTTTTAAAAACAATAAGGAAACATCTTTTAATGATTTTTAATAGAATTCACTCAAAAATTTATTGCTTTTTAGTGAAAACAATCGGAATGTTTCAAACTCAGCCAAAGCAATTACAATTGTAGGTCATATGACCTATTATATGACCTTTTGACCTTCGACTTGATTTTAATTTTTTAAATAAATCTGCCGTTTTAGCCCATTTATTAAAATTTAAATTACCAATTTTAAATCATGAAAAAAGAAATAAATTATCGTATTTTTACAGTTAACATAAAAAACGTTGACGTTAAACGTTTAAACACGACTAAATGTCCTCCTCCCACCCTCTTTACCTCCATCTTCTACCAATTCCACTTCCACTTCCATCCAATATTCGTTAAAACAGAGTAATCTTTTCGAGTTCCATTTCGCGCACTCTCCATATTCTCTTAATAAAAAGGCCTCTAAGTGAACAATTTGCTTTTTTTCACGAGAAAAATGAAATAATTTTAAATCATTTTCGTATAAAACGTAGATAAATTTTAATTTAATTACCTTTCTTGCTTATAAAATACGCGAAAATTGGGATCATTTAACGATAGATAACAGATATAAATGATGACAAATAGAGATTCAGAACTTTTTTCAAATTCGATTTATTTATCTATAAATATCTCCAAAATTTTCAAAATATTTTTAAAATAATTCCTCCAATTCCTTATCTTCTTTCATCTTATCATCTATTTTCATATCTTTTTCATCAGTTCCAATTCAATTGGTACTACTAACTACTGCACTGAGAATCGTTCGCAAAAGAATTACTCATGATAGAAATTCAAGTGTGAATTAACCAATTTCATTTTTGATAGTGTATTTAATTCATACTAATATACTACGATCCAACCTGCGCTTTTTACGTTCCACATAAGATTCACCTAACTCATCAATGCACCAACTCGTAACTTGCAACCCAACTTTTTCGACCAAAATAATATAAAAAATTCGTTTCACATCCAAACTTATCGATTCATTTCTGAACGAAAACTTATCGTTTCTTGATCATTGAGTTAATATTCATTACTAATCAAAGAGCTGATATATATTAATAAGGATAAAAAAAATAATTAACAAAAATGGTTTATGAAAATCGCCAATCTAATATTAATAATATTTCTATTATATTATCATCATTATCATTAACATTTATTACTATTATCAATATTATTACTACCGTCATTATTTATTACCTATTGATATTAATTGCTGTCATCTATTTATCATTATTACTAAATTTATTTAAATTTATTAATAATATTATTTTTCAAGATATTTTATATATTCAATAAGAGGATTAAGAAACATTTTTGAAAATATTTTCGCATTTCTAATAACCATCGTCATCATCGTCAACATTAAATCTTTGAAGTACTAAGGGTATTCATTATATCATTTCAATAAATAATTTCGAGAATTTCAAGTGAAAATTTAATTTTGAAAAAACAAAAGAAATCCATCTAAATCGTATAAATAATATTCTACTAATAAAATCTGCGAGAATAAATATTTCCTATTTTGCTTGATAATCACAACAAATGCTTCCTGCATGCCCTTTTTTTTTAGTGAATTTCATTGCGTTACTGCTATTTCTTAATGGCTTTCATCGATCCTTTTAATAGTGTATTTTCTAACAAATAAAGATTTTATAATTGAATTTACTTAGAAAATAAAATTATGGCTCGTCTTTAACTCTAATCGAAAAGACTATAGACGATTTACGATTTAATTTCATTTTATTATAATAAAATGAAGAATATTGAATGAAGTATAAGAAAAATGAAGAAAATTTCGTCTTAACATTTTTCTCCATAAAGCAATGACTCTTAAATTGGGATCCGAAGTTCCATTCCTTAGAAATCTCAAAATCAAAATTCTTTCACGAGCACTTCAACAAAACAGCTACAATATTATAAAGTATTATCATGTGAGAATTTATTTATCTGCTCAGTGAACCCGTAAAATGTACCTTAGACATGAATGGCCAAAATCAGATAACCTCTTAATATTCACCACTCTTAGTGGCCAGGCCTCGCAGCCATATAGTAAGATCGAGCGAACTAAGATTAAACGCGAGCTTTCGTTTTAGTAGTGATTTTGCGACAGTTTCATCAACCAGAGGAAAACATTTATAATTACCATCATCCAGGTTGTAATTCCGTCTTTCTTTTGACCACTTGGGGATCAGAGTGGATCGGAGACATTTGAAGTCTTGCACTTTATCCATCGGCAATAAATTGATGAAAATACTTATTTTATCTGCTTTTGTATGTAAAACAAAAAGACTTTATTCACATCGATCCCGATTCTCGCTGCAGTTGTCAATATATTGTTTAGCACTATTTGCATTTCATGATAATTTTCAACAAAGAGGGCCATAACATTAGCGTATTCACGACATGTAATACGATATTCTGGACTTCTTGAGTGGCGACAAACGATGTCCATCGTCTGCTCTATCGAATAGTCGAATATTGTAGGAGTAGCTTTGACGGAAACCAGTTTTTATTTCGAAAAGGCCTGTCGATTCCCCATGTATATAAACCTGTACTAGACAGTGATAAAATGCCTTTATGAGACGAATGATGTTCTCTGGAACACCGATGTATTCCATCACCCTCCAAAGAGCTGCTCTGTCAACTGTCGGAGAAAGCTGTAAAATCGATGAAACATGTGAAAATGTGACGGTAGGTTGCTGATACTGAAGCGATGTTTCAACACCCTAATGTGAATATCTGGTTAGAACAATCATCGTCCTGGTCTGAATCCAGCTTGGATAGGTGTATCGTATTATAACAATAATACAAGAATTAAGATTTTAAAGGTGTTATTATTTAGTAATTATTTAGCAATAATAATGAACGTAGTCATATTTAAATTTATTTTCATAGTTTTAATTTCTAAAATCAATTGATATAAATCATACAAAGCAAAGCTCATAAGATATATCCTCAATAATCAAAAAAAAGTTACTTCAAAAAAATCTCTTACTTAAACTTAAATTCTCCGTATAAAATAAGTAATTGAAAAGATAAATACCATTAACTTCGATTAAAAATCCTAATTTTTTAAATTAATAACCAATAATATTAATGTAGTTAAAATATACAAGAATTAAGATTTTAAAGGTGTTAATGAAAGTAAAATAAAAAAAACGCCAATTTTAGCTGAATATAAAATAAATATATAGTACGAATATAATTTATAGCTAAAATATTTGAAAAATTTTAAAAAATTAAGTAATAAAATTTTCTCTATAAATATTGTCAAAGGGCAAATTAAATAGCTTTTTGAAAATTTTTTCGGCTGTAAGAATTAAGTTTTATAAGACTTTTTAAAGTCACTTAGAGATCAAAAGTAATTACAATAAATTATACAAAACAACAGTAATAAATTTAAATTTAACAACAGTAATAAATTTAACAACAGTAATAAAAACAACAGTAATAAATAAATAAACAATAAATTTATTTTGTTTGATTAATTTACCTAATAACTTGAAAATAGCAAAAAGAAAAAAACTTAAATTTATAATTTTTCTCTCAAATACATTTAAAAAGTGAAAGAAAAAAATATTCAAACCTTGCTATAATCCAGTTCGATTTTTTATAAGCGATAGCAAGAGGTACTAATCCATTATGGTCAGCAACATTAATAAAAGATGGTGAAAACTGTCGAGTCCTTAAAACTGCTTGGCCAACTACAAATACATCTTTGGATAAAGTTGATGCAAGAATATGTAACGCCGTTTCACCACGTTCATTAACTGCCAACACATTAACGCCATATTCTAAAAGTAGTATTACGCCTCGTAACCAACTCGACTTGATCGCAAGTAGCAAAAGCATAGCATCACTGGTCACCTACAATAAATCTCCACTCAAAATTATTCAAAATTTGGTGATGTGATGTTAATATGTTAGTATTTAACATAATATTGTTTTTTATTGATTTTAATACTGTTTTTAATTTTTTTAAAATTGTCAGTAATATTCTCAGTAATATTTAATACATTTAATTCCTAATATCTTTAATAATATTCTTTTTAATACTCATCGCTAGATAAACTCGCCCCGCTGGCTTAATAAAAGAAATAAAGGTGAGTCGCCAGCATTACCATGATTTTAAAAGGATAGATTTATTCATGCCAAGAGTAGAACCTCAGCAATGGTGTTCTGAATTAATAAAACCCAATGATCTTTTCTATTCTCTTTTGCTTTCTTTGTTAGGCGATACTGTCACCAGATGAGGTGGGTTGCAGAATCGAAATCAAGTCTCGATTCTTCGTGGCAAATACCTTGTAGCTAAACCACCGACAAACTGTTGTTTTTTTAATGACAAATATAAGTTTTTTTATAGAGAATTAGTAATATTTACAGAGATAATATTTACATTCTTACTAGTGTAATAGCAATTTAATCTCCTGAATTTAAGCAACTCTTCCAATATAGCAGAAGACTTTTTCTTCACAGATTCTAAAAGGATATCATTCATTTGTCCATCTTCATTCTAAAAAAAAACTTCGAAGTTTTCATTAAAATTTCATTAAATCATCAAAGTTTTCGTTCTTTTATTATCCATAAGAAATTCTTGACAATTCTTGACAAAAATTCTATGCTTTGGTATAAAATGAATTTCAATCAAAAAAACAAACGGAAAAAAGAGGTGCTTCATGATGCAATAAAATTTTTGTCAAAATCGAATCCACGTGAATAATTGCCTTCTCCAGAGAATCATAATCGATCTTCACATCTATAAACTGCAAAGAAATAATATAAAAAATATAATATAAAAAATTATTCTAACTGAAAATTTTCCAAAGGAATTATTATGATAACATAAGAATATCACTTATTGAAATTCATGTTTTCTGTTCTCAAATACGAAAAAAAATTGCCTTTGAAAAAATAAAATTAAATAAAAATACAAGATATAAAAAATAAGGCTAAAACAAAGAGTTATAATGAAAATATAACTTTTTGATAAATTTAGATGCAATTTTAAATGGTACAAAACTGAAATTAAATACATATATATAAATATATATTAGACTTTCCAGGACTAGATGGGAGATTCTTCAGAATTCCACAAAAAATCATGGAGAATAATAAGTCATCCAGAAATAAGTACTAGTAAATCAATTAGATATCGTAGTAATAGACAAATGAGAAACTAGAGAAATACCATCGAAAGAGAAAAGAGCGAAGATATGAAAAGTGAAAATCAAAATAATCCCAGTTGAATGGAGCACTAGGAACTGTGATTCCTAAACTAGAAAAGTGGCTTTAACAGATACTACGAATAACAAAAGTCTGAATAAAAATAATGTAAGGAAATTCAAAGAGAAGAGAGTTATTTTCGAATTCTACCAAAACAATAGCGGAATTTGATGAGATATCAAAAAATATTAAAAAAAATAAATATTAAAATAAGTTTAATGTTGCAAAGGATTGTAATAGTGCATTAAGAGGGAAAAGAATGTACAAAAAATGTTTGTTAAGATAATATTATTGCTAATCGTGTATAGCAAAAGAATATAGCAAGGATTGATGGAGCACTGAGGAAATAATAGAGCGAAAATTATTGATGTAATAAGTTCCGACAAATAGAAATAAAGAATTTTTGTATGATATTAGGACCGATATAACTTAAAGGACAATAAAAAAGAGTTTTTAAAAGATAATCAAATGAATTGTTTTATAGATGTATATGAAAATAATTTAAATAATAAATAACTCAGTAAATTACTATGTAAAAAATAACCTGTAAAATTAAAAGCACGACGTTTACATTATTATGAATTATTGCATCCTTCAATGCGCGTAGAATGAAAATATTTTCTAAATGCTCTTTACCTGAAATTATATATTGTCAGATAATATTATGCATTATGAATTTATTTTATTTTTATTAATATTTGTTTTTCTAAACTTTAAAGATTTGAACTGCAGTAAATAACTCGCATCGCTTTGATTCAATATTTAAATACTATTTTATACAATAATACAATATTTTAAATGCTAAAGGATTCATTTCAGTTTAGAAAAATAAAAGTGGAGAAAATATGCAAAAGTAATGAACAAATTTATTCAATTTATTTATCACAAAATATAAGCCAACCAAGAATCGAATGATGCCAAATCCATCGAAATGGAACTTCAAAATTATGTGAATTTATATGAAAGCAAAGATTATTAGATGCACAAATATGTGTTTCCACAACAGATGATTTTAACCGATCCAATTCATTTAAAAGTAACAATTTCGAAGAATCACATAATAAAGATACTGAAAAAAAGCATTCGTCAAAAAGAGAAATATTCAATTAAAGATGAAAAAGATAAAGAAAGGTTTGCTTAAAACATTGATAGAGAATAATTTACCCTTCTCAATCAAAGTCTCCTAAAAATGCTAAAAAGATATATGATTTGTACTTCGTTAATAAGAATAAACTCGTTAAATCTGCCGTTGCATGCTGCTGACTCAACTTATATGTGAAAATCAACTTACACGTATTTTAATCGTCGAGTTAATAAATCATCTTAATAACCAATGGCGACAGTACAGTCAGAAATAATGAATGTCGATGAACAAATAAATATATTTTCCATAAAGTCCTTCAGCAAATGCAAATTAAGGGAAATTTTAAAATGGAAAAAAAAGTGAAGAAAATCATACCTAAATTGAGCTGTTTGCCTGAATTGTAACTAAACAAAATGTCGCTAAGCTTTACAAGTATATAAATCTGCAACGGTTAAATTTTAATGTCGATTAATCAATATCGTTCTTTTATCACAATATATGTGGGCGTTATACTAAAAAAAAGCCCCAAATAGAATTTTTCTTCTAAAAGCTCTCACCATTACTGGTTAGACTGATTGCTGGCCACAAGGTTAAAATAAAGTATGAAAAGAAAAATTGAGAAAATATTCTTCTTAAATATTTTTTTGACACAACATGAAGGAAATCCACAACGTTTGAAAATCCACTAATTCTATCACAGAAAATTTTTCATTCATTGAAAAAATTCCAAAAATAAAAAATTTTGGTCCAAAACATACTGAATCGTAGGTGAAAAGTGAAGTATGACCAAAAAATTTTTTTTCTCCACAATGACAACATCGATTTCCGTATTTCGTTATGCACTGCTGATGCATATAATGCCTTTCCAATACATTTGCATCACAAATAACAAAGTCACCCTTAAATCTTAATTAAATAATATCGATTACTATAATAATATCGAGTGGTGCTGGCAATCTGCAATATCGCAAAATTATTTAGATCCGACAAACCATCGAAGCCAACTCAACCATAAATAATAAAACTATAAAAGAAAACAAAAAAATAAACTGAAGAGGTAATAAAAAAGCACAAGAGATATGTTTTAATTGATTTATATATTTCTAATCACAAAAAAAGCAATAAAAACAAAACAAAAAAAGCGGAGCATAGTTTGCTGTAACATATATATATTTTTTCTTTTAGAATCTTCACCATTACTGGTTAAACTCGCTCCACAGGCTCATCGCATTGGGGAATATGCCAGGGAGTCCCTTGGCAATAAAAATAGATGAGTCGCCAGCATCACCCGGATTTTTGTACAGATTTACTTCCGCAAGAAGGGAATCGATATATATATGTATATAATGTTTATCTGTTTATTTCAATTAAGAGATCAATTAATTAGAAAATGGAGAAAAATTTTTAAAAATTAAAAAGCTTACTTGTGAACAAAATAAATTGCAGTAGAAACATAAGCGATGCTGAATGAACATATTCGTATGAACCTAAAATTAATTTGATTCATTTAAATCGAATTATTAATAATATTAATGATATATGCAATAATTTTTTTCTCAGTTCACAGTTTCTGGTTAGATTAGCTTTATCGAACCATATAAATTTTGATTCATCAACATCAACCGGATTTTTAAAAGATAGATTCATTGTTGCGAGAGTAGAATGTTCCGAAATAAAAGCCTATTTATTTATTATATAAGGCTTATAGGTGATATCGCAAGATTTTAAGAACTGACAGCTATTTGATATAAAGCTATAGAACTACTAACAGACGATAAAAACAGACGAAAACTATATACTCATTGTACTAATTGTACTCACAGAGTACAATTTAGGCGAAAGAATATCATAAAATTATAATGCAACAGGAGAACACGCGAAATAAAGCACGCGAAACAATTTATTGATGAGAAATTTTACGTCGTTCCCCTTACTTCGGAATGGCAATTCTAGGACTACCCACCTCAAAAGTAAGTCATTCAGAGGTGTGGTGCTAGCGATCCATTTTTGTCGTCAAGTAAGTCCCTGTCAAAATTCGTCTATATCCGATAAGCCAGCCAGATAAGTCGAGAATAGAGAAAGCTGGCAAAGAAAACTTTTATACGGTGCTGTGTCAGATAAATGAAAAGTATAAAATATATAAAACTTACCCAACAATATACCATTTTTTGAGATGTTTTCGGAGGATAAACATTATTCGCATAACGAAAACAATTGTATAATACACCATAGCGATCATCAACTGCATTACATCGTCGAAAAATACCAATTTCGAGAACTTCACTTATGTTCCTTAAAAAAAATCGCTCCATCAGTCGAGGACCATTTCTACACCACACCTTCTGTTCAATGTCCATCGCCACACTATTTCTTCATAAATACATAAATACATAATTCTAGCGATGTCAGCGTGGTGACAGCGATATTGGACCACAACACGTTAAAACAGAATATTCCAACAGAATATAAAACAGAATACCAATTTTTTTTATGGCTCAATATTCCATAGCTCAGTGATATCTTACATTTCGTAGCGCCATTCCTGGAGTTGTACTCAAGGTAGGAATAGATATATTTCCCAAAAACTCCGGAAGGTGGCGATGACCTACCCTGCAGAGCGAGCCTGACCGCTCTTCAAAAAAAACTAACTTTACAGCCAGTAATACTTAAATAGAGAGATAGTTATATTTATCATACAGAAAAAGAAAAATTACATGAATCGAGTGCAAATACATCTATTAGACGGCTGAACCACCTGAGATGAGCGTAGTACCATAACTCTCACTCCAATTCATACTTTCATAGCGAATCAAATTTGGCCGAGAAGTATCAATTATCGGTCAATGTTCTGCAGCTGATTATTAGTGTATGGTAATGGTAAGCCTAGGTCGTGGGAGTAGAAGATTAGTTTTTTTGGTCGGTGGGTATGCAGTTTAAAAAGAAATTAGGGGATTAGGGTGTGTCATTTTCGCGCTTATTTTTTCTTTTTGGCTGCCTTTATTGGCTGATATAGGATGAGAAATAGAGTGGTTCTTCGCCTTGGAGCCATTTTGGTGCACGGATTTCAACTGGGATTGCCGTTGTCAAGGGATTGGATTATTATTCGCTTTCCTTGACCTTTGTCGAAGCAACTTGGCCATCCGACCACTTTTTAAGCATATCGCTTGAAAAACATTCATTTACTATATTTTTAGGATCAAATATTATTTACTTATTATTTTAAATATTCATTTATTTATTATTTTAAATATTTTCGCCGAAGATTGTAGTGATTGTAGGAAATATATCAGTTTACTTCTACTTTATTCAATTTCCTGTAATTATCTGACTAAGGCATTACAAGCTGTTGTCAAGCACATAATAGCCTTGAAAAAAAGTGCCTAAGTATCCATTGTGCAATAAATTATGCAAAAGTAGAATGTGGATCAGTGGATTGTTGCTGTTATTTCGGAAAGCCCATTCAAGGAATCCACTCCCAGCAGTTGAGTAGATTTGTCTTCTAACTAACCAATCTGTTGCACTATTGCCATGCGACTCCCTAGTTTTGAGTCGACAAGCGAGTGGAGTGAAATGGTGAGAAAATATATACTCTCTGATTCGAATCAGATGTAATCTGTGTTCACGGGAATCTTCAAATGTTATCGAATTTCATTACAAAAAATTTCGCAGCAGACATTTTATCGGTAATATTTATTTTCAGTTTCACGTGTTTCAAATAAAATTTAAAAAATGTGAAAAAACGAAAAAAGCATACGTGGTAAAACGTGGGAAAAGTTACATGAAAAGTCAAAACGCTAAAACCCGTGTTATTTCTAATTGCTTATTGATAAGTTATTTTGTTCGGCTTTTTTATTTATAATGCAAAATTTACCTTATAATAAAAATAAAAATAATACGAAAAGTAATAGAAAAATGAAATATTGATAAAACCCGTAAACAATGATTTTACACTACTCTATTTTAATGACATAAAATTTCATTATTAGATTTAGATTTTAATGGAGGATCAATTAAAATTTGGACTGATTTGGCCAGAGGAGATCTTAAACAAGCAGGCAGTCCAGCGATATATTGGTTTGATTTCAGTTTCAGGATTGAAAGGTTCGGAAGGCTTAAAAACATGTTACTTTAATCGCTCGGGAAATAGCAATGGTGGAAGCCATTAGAAGAGGAAGAGGAATGAATTTAAAGATAGTGATGGATTTTAATGATACTATGAATGAATTCCTATCGAATTTTGGTAACTGAATTTTTTATAATGGTAAAAACCTAATGAAAGAAATGGAAAATATCACAACTAGGTATAAATATTTTCTTAAATATTTGCTAAATATTGCTTAAATATTTTCTTCATGACGAAACCTTTAGGGAAACATCGCAAAATCACCATAAGAACGAAAATCCGCTTCCATATAGCTGAAATTCGTTTGATCTTGCTATATAGCTGCGAAACAGGGCCAATGAGAGTGGAAGATATTAAGAAACTATTAGCCTTTGACCACTCATGTCTAAGGTACATTCTACGGATCTGCCGAGCAGATAAAATCGCACATATTGCATTCACCTTCGCTCAAATCATAATAAGTCATTATAGAGCGTCGCCTTCGCCAATTCGGCATGTTCTCCGTCGTCCATCACAGGAGTTGTCACATATTTCGCTACTTGTAGAACCCTAGTGATGGTTAAACCGAGGAGGGCCAATCAAGATTTGGACTGATACAGTCAGGAAAGATTTTGAACATATAGAGGGGCCAACGATATACTAGAGGATGGAAAAAGGAATGGCTTCTCTATGGCATTGGATCGAAGAGTTTGGAGACGTTTTACTCTTATAGCCAGCCAAACCAGGAATAAGAGCTGTTAGAAGAAGAATGAGATCCAGTATAAAGTCAAAAAAGTCTCTACAAATATATGAATATAATTACTGATTTTACATTAATCACTTTAATTAACTCATGACGATATAAAACAATGCTGCCTTTTGCAAAATCTTATCCTCCTAATATTGGTACCATATGTTGCTCATCTGGACCTTTGTTACGCTTTTTAATCGTACCACCACATAATATTTTACGACTAACAAAATGTTTGATTTCCGGTATTCTGCAAAAGCTTTGTATATTTTTAGATTTAGCAATAATTGAAACTTTCTGCCATTATTTTTTAAAATTTCAACTTCAACATATAAGAAATTCATCTATAATCTGTAAGTATATAATTTTCTTGGCATGAATTCTGATAAAAAATCAAGGTTCTTTTGATATTTTGCAGAAATGAATTTGCCATAAGCCAGCCATATCATCAAATTTTTTTCAACTTTTTTCCCATTATAAATTTCTAGAGGAAATTTCCTGCCAAAAATTGCAAAGGAAAGCACTACCAATAGAATGTTAAAATGCAAAGGATCAAGTATATATAAAAAAGGAGATATTTTGGATAGAATAAAAGTTAAATAATGGTGGACTCTCTTGTAATTGGGCTAAATGATATTTATGGCTTTGCTTAGCAATAAGCAAAAATTCAAATCTGATTTTGATTTTCTATTCGTTTAATTAATTTAATTAGATCTTGTTAATTCTTCAAAATTTTTTCAATTAAATATTAGCGTGGCCGAAGATAAATTAGAAACTAGGAATTAGACGAATGAGTTTAAAATCACCTTGTTGCGTAAATGATAGGATTAGTTAAAGATTTGATCATTATAAGAACGAGCGATGTTAGAGAAAAAATGTTCAACCAGATGCTGTTTTGTGCATAAAGTGGCATTCCTTCAGCTGTCAGTACGTACAGCAGTGATGCTGGCAACCAACCAACTAAGAATGTACCAAAAATTAGCCCAGAAGTTACAACTGTGCGACGTTTCCACGTTGTTGACGATGATGCCTTTACATGCGTCTAAATTACACTTCATATTTTCAGATTTCTTGTTTCTTATTTATTAGATTAAAGATAAGTAGATAATTGAAGTCGTTAGCAACATCTTTAATATCTTTGCTCGTTCTAGATTCTGCCTGCTAGCAAGATATGACAATTTATTATTCAGAGAGTTGTTTGGGAATAGAAAAAGTAGAATTTGGCCTCTAGATCTTTTAATGATAACTTCGGTCCCATCTATGTTCATAATATTTAAAATGATAATCTAAAAATAACCACTCGGCTATACTCCTCTAAAAATATAATGTAGGATTCTTGTTTGGTTTATTTTGAATCTAACTTTATACTGCGATCTCCAATACTCTCGTTTTATTTAAATATTGTTTCATATTTAAAATAAAGACAGAGAAAATATTTTAAGAAAATAAAGACAGAGGTTGATTTTTTTGCATAAATAACACAAGGACAGCAAATTTTTGGCTTGTAACAAGTTTTTAGCCATGAAAAATTTTGTCAAAAATTTCGAAAAAATGTGCCCTTGTTATAGTTCCAAGCAAATAATTATTGTCCTATGAAATTAATTAAAAATAATGAACTAGTTTAGAAATAAGAATTGGCTATACATATTTTTAGCTTTTTCTTTGGCTAAAAATCGTATTTTCAAAGGTAATATTTATGCAAATTATATCTGAAATTTTAAAAAAGTACCTTCTTTAGTTTTATTAATAACTTTGAATATAAATAGCCTGTAGATAGCATAAGCGATATTATAATCGTTGATATGATTGCTCGAAAATATAGGTGATCATAAAATGCGACCACTGTGCAATTTTTAATGCGATAACCTTGTCCTGGCCATGAAGCAAAGTAAATTATATGTGCAACAGGTGGTATAGTCCAAATCAATACAATTATCACGTGGATTTTACGTCGACTTAAAATCTGCTCATGATCAAATGGTTTTGAGGTTGACAAATAATGGTGTATGGCTAGAGCGAACAGATGCAGCATTCCGGTTAAAAGACCACCAGATCTGAGAGCCTAAAATCACGATGATGAACTGGAAAAATAAAATAAAAATTCCAAAACGATCAGGACCTCCAGTGTGAGCGGAAAGCAGAGTGAAGTGTGCACATATCCGAGTACCACTGTCATATATGAATTTCGAAAAAGTGATGCCGCAACGATGATCGAGGTCCACGTATCGGATGTTGCTAGCGAATAAATAAGTTCGAGAGTGTTCGAACGAGATCTGACGTGCAATCGTGACAACAGCACAAAAATATTTAAAATAGCTGCTAACGAACATAATAGAAGAATTATAGGAATACAAATCGTATATAAACTTAACCGTAATTCGTCCATTTTTCCTGAAAATTTAAAGTATTATTTTCCTACCCATTGTAAATTATGATAATTATAAGCCATGAAGCCATGAAAAAAGCGATCTAATCGGCGATTTCAATATTCGGATGTTTTGCAATGAACGGAGAGCTAGGACATCACTTAGTGGCATAAGAGTCTAAGAAATTCTACGCATATCAGTAGCGAGTCGTCATGGGTTGCTCAAACAGATAAATGGATAAATTTTTTTGATCAAAATTCAGAGCCAAAAGAATTCTCTTTGATACTTCTCAATTTGGAAAAATGGAATGCGCGTACCTATGTGGATCCTCGAGAATGGTTTAATGGATCACCGATTGTTTTGTATTGCAAAATATTTTTATGAAGGCCCGGTGCTTTAGTTATGAGCAAAGACTCACCAAAAAAAATTTCCTAATAATAAAATAGACGTTCGCAAGAAAACGATTTCGCAAGAGAATATTTAATCTTAATTTTATGCAACATTATACTAAAAATTGATTTTTAACTTAATTTAATTTCTTAATTTAATTTTTATAATAAAATTTCTCATTTTGTTTCATAAGAAATATAACGCTTGAAATATTTAAACAAATGCAATGTGGGTCTGCAGGGTTCTTAGCAAATTTTAAGACGTTGAAGAGGTCCTTGATCAAAAAGCTCTGAGAGAGGCTGCAATAGTGAGTTTTCCTAAACTCTCCTTCATTCTCCTAACAACACTTCTAATTTGGCCGAATATGCTGGCTAATTGGACATAAGGTCCATCCATTAGCGAAACAGTTGGTGAATAGGAATTCAGCAAAATCATTGGCGTCACTCGGATTTCATTCAATTAAAGGGTTGTTTCCGTCACGAGACAGGAATCGAACCTATGATAGCCTGGCATTATAGTAGTTTCTGTCAACATAATACCCAACCAATTCGCCCACGAAGCATTTCACTGATATAAGAATTGCCAAGCGAATCACTCACTATTATTGCAATTAACGAACTAAAATAACAATTATTTAAAAACTAGGAATGTTTCTAACAGCAAATTATCGCAAATTTATCAGTTCAAACATTGCTTAGACAAAGATAATTAGATTATTAGACGAGGTATTCAAGAAATAAAATGAATTGCACATTTTTTCTATTTTTCATTTCTTTACAATTTTTTTTCAAATTTATAACGAAAAAAATGGCTGAAAATCGTTCTTTGTGTAAATTAAATTTTATCGCTAAAAATATAAAAAAAAATATGATTTTAATTTATTCGCTGAAAATTTCATTAATTGTTTATGATTTATGTTTCATAATTTAACAAATTTAATAATTTAACAATTATTAAATTTATAATTTAATAACCGAAAGACAGTTGTTCGATAATTTTTCATCGCATATTCGTTATTACAAAAAATGTAATATTTAATAAATATTGAATTAATAAATGTCGAAAATATTGAATTGTTTAAAAAAGTTCAAGAAATCTCTTCGTGTTATTTATTTTGAAAAATCATAAATTGTTCTGAAAACAAAATTTCCATTTAAAATACGCATTATAGTTTACACAGCATTACACTCTGTGTAATTTTGCCAACGTGGTACGAATATATTTATTTCGTGTTTCATTTACACAAAAGTTCGAACCTCTGGGACCATTGAACCATAGGAAAAGCTTTTAAACTTTTCATCTAGTTTTTGGAAATATTTTCTCTTTGAGGCAGTTGTCGAGAGGAAAGAAGTGAAAAGTTGTTGGAGAAAAATCTGGAGAACATACCGAATGAAGGAGAACTTTGATATTCGATTTTCTAAAAAGTGATCTTTGCGATATACTGGGTTCTCATAGATTGTGCACTTTAACCAATGCTGGTTGGTGTGCTTGCAATTTTCAGCTTCTAACTGAACCATATTTCATCAGTCCAACAGTAGATCACCAGTGATCTTTTTTAAATGAATGTCGAGTTTGGAAATGGATCGAGGAGGTTCATTCATATCAAACTATTACGCCGATCTTTTCTTGTTGTCGAATTTACTTTTTGCTAAAATTCTATTCAAGAAAAGAATCGTTTTTGTGTCATATTGGCAATGAACAAACAATACCTTTCCGAAGATGCCTTCCTCTGATATTCATTTATTTCTTGGAGTACCCATTTGTCAAGCCCTTCCATCCACTCAACACTGGTGATTCCACATAGTATCAAGTGGAAGACCAATTTTTGTTTTATTAAAATGATTGATAAAGCTCTTACAAACTAGTGATAATATGTGTAATAATTACTCAATAATAATTAGTGAACCACCAATTCACCATACTATCCGTACTTATCAAGTTACTTAGCAATCATTGAACGGTATTTTCTGAGTAAAATATTCATTAAAACAGTTTCTTAGAAATGGAGAAATTACCTATGGTACTTGAACTGATAGTCTAAGCAACTATATTGTACTATTCACTCGATTCAAATTTTTTCAAAACGTAGTTGCACACATAAAATAACGCATTATAATTCAAATTGCCGAATAATGGCATCAGAAAAATTTTAAAATAGGATTTCTAAAATTTATTTCGATTAATTTGGTTAGTTTTGGTATCGATGGTAATTCTTAATTTTAGTGATCTGATTTTCATTCCTCTATCATAAAGATTTTAAGCTGGTCATAAATTGTGTATCTGAAATCTACGAATTTTATCAAGAACCATTTATTTACTTAAAACCGGAATAATGATAATGATATAATCATGGGTCAGTTTAGTTATTTTCTCCAGTTCCCATTTTTCCCACTCCTATTTTCTCAATATTAATGTTATTTAAACATTTTGATGAATTCAGTAGATGCTCGTATACCTTTCTCATCATTAATAGGATAAATCAATTTTAAGTTTTATCTTAATCCTAAAATTAATGATTATTTATTTATTTCATGCATATTAAGTTAAGAATTTTAAAATTTAAAATTTTTAAAATTTCTTCTTATTTATTCGTAATTCTCAATAAAAGTGAGAAAGATAATTAAATGAAATGATAAAACAAATGGAGGTAAGTATAACTGTTTTATTTGGTACCTAGCAACCATATTTAGCATATGCCTAGTGATCTGTTCAGCACTTCTCTAGCATATTTGCTTGCTTATCGCATTTAGCATGATTTGCATTTTTTTTACGGGAAAGATTACTATTAATCTTCCTTGATAAGGAATATTCTCAACGAATGACTAATGGGATTCAGGAACCATTTCATTCATCAGAATATAAGTTATTGTAATTGAATATATAGAAAAAAATTAATGCTCATTTCTGATTAGTTTTAAATGTTGGTAAGGCGTTAGATAATTTTTTAAAGGAATTCTTTAAGGATCATAGTAAAATGCAAGTGACTGCCCTGTACCACGTGGATTTTTTAATGATAGACTTGTTCCTCTCAGAGATAAATTTCTGGGCAATCCTATCTTCATAATCGGCCATACTAAAAAAATATTGATTTAAATAAACTTTTTCTCGGAGAAATTCCTGAATAACAATAGTGTAATTTTGCTATCGTTATAAAACTAGCGATGACAATATTCTTCTTGTTAAATTTTTTCTCGCCGAAAAATTTCCATGGATATTTTCCTCAAGAAAATTCGATGAGTTTTTATCCTATGTTTTCCTAATGGAATTCGAGAAGTTTTATTCCTTTCTTTCTTTCTTCATTCCTTTAATCACATTCAACTAAATGGTGAAAATTTTACTTGGCTAATTAGCGCAAAAAAATATTTCTAATTAAAAAAATTAGAGCAAAAAGTAACCTAATTAAAATAATTCTAATTTGGGTTTATTAGGCTAATTAAAGACAAAAAATAATTGGCCGTCAGATTGCTCTATGCATAAAAATTTTAGAGATTTGTGAATAATTGCGCAATAATCTCAAATAGTTCGGTTCAAACTGATTACGAGTTCAGTTAATGCAAATTACTACGGAAAAAATCCGTTATTTAATAAGGAGCAATCGAACAGCAAATTAATTTTGCAGTTTATTAAGTACCAAGGCCCAATCAGATCGACAATTTTTGCACTGGTTACTCAACATCTATTTTAGCCTTAAATATGTTCTCATGATGGTTAGAATTTCTAGTTAGCTCGCTCGCTAACTTTTCGGTGTTAACAAATTTTATTTTGGAGTTATTTGATAATACTGTAATTGCAAATGAGTTGCCAGTATTGCCCATATTTTTGAAAGATAGATTTATTTCTTCACATATGAAAATCCAGCACCGCTGTTCCCTTACCTTTTGAGCGAGTGAGAGAGCGAGAATAAAAGCAATAAACCACTGTGCCATTCTGCTTCCTCATTCACCTATACATTGAATGCTTTCTTAAGATTTCTTTACCAACTAAGTGCCTTATTGAAAACAAATGCTAGGAATAAGACGAAATAAAAGGCAGTATGCCACTAGAAGAGGCTGCAAAGAGGCTTGCGAGATGAGCTAATAAGGCGGAATCAGAAATTTTATGAAACATAATTTCCTTTAAAAGATCCAACTCTAACGATAGGAAAAGCTTAATTAAGAAACAAAACACAATTAAATGAACTTGGCGATTAAAAATGAAGGTTTTCAAACAATAATTATCCAACGATCACAGAAATATTCTGCCTGAATTGTGAATTGCTAAAGAAATAATTCGAAATATTATTTCCTAAAAATTTTTTATTTATTTATAAATGAATGCGATTTATTAGCAAAAAAAATTAATCTTATTGGTTATTAACAAAGAAATAAAAATTCTTTAAATTGCATCGGAATTTTATTTTACTCAATTTTATTTTAAAATTTTAAGTGTTATTTAATGACAAACTTTAATTAAATAATGATTATTCGTGCTATGAAATTTATTGCTTAACAAATCTCATTAATAACTGAGAATCGGTTACAACTATGACTTAAAAAAAAAATAAATATTGGTTTTTAGCTTTGTTCGAATGGCCATTTGGCTAATTTTGGCTGCGGAGCGATTTCGAGAGAAAATTAGAAGTAACATCGAT